TTCCCTACATGCAGAAAACCTTCTGGTAGGCATGGCGAAATGAAAACGCTGTTTTCGAGGCAGGCTCAGAGGGGAGAGCAGGGGCTGGTGTGGGATGCGGGAGGAATGCAGGACGCAGGGAGAAAAACCATTCTTATCAACAGAGTTCAGCCCAGGAGAGCTGAGATATGCAAAAGGCTCAAGCTAATAAGCTGAGCAAACAGTACTCGGAGGGCTACGGCCGGGCACAATTATGCAATGCTGGTTTATTTGTCGCTGCAGGTTTGACGGAAGAAAGGTGAGGAGCTTGGGGCTGTGTCCCCGGTGCAGGGCTGTGGGTCTGCCCATAGGGAGGGATTTGAACCCATTCTTCAGAAATGGCACAATTACTGCAAAGTCCAGACCGTAACTCTCCAGACACTTCCTCATGCCCTGTACTATCCTGTTTTCCATTCCCCGTACCCTACCAGGGCTCACAGAGGATGAGCCAACACCGTGGCTCGGCTGCATCGACCCCGAGCGAGGACTTTTTGCCGTGGTTCCCAGCTGAAACACAACCTGGGCAAGAAACGGCCGTGGGATGGACCATGTGCACCCGCACGCATGGAAAACGTGAAGTAGCACCGAGGGACGCAGGGAGGACCCCAGGAGCTGCTGCACCGATCTGACAGCTCCGCAGCGCGGGTGTCACTGTGTCCCGGGTCCTCGGTGGCTCTGGAGAGGCCACGGCCGGCAGAGAAATGCAGGTGGGCAGTGGATGTGGAGAGGTTGATTTTGGGGCAGTCGTTAAATGTGGCTCCTCATCCCCAGTGCACTTTATCAGCCCGTCCTGTGAGTTGGTGATTGCAGTTAGCCCAGCATTACGGGGGATGCTCTGGGTGTCCCCAGTCCTGTCCCAGTCCCATCCCTGGCCCCATGTGCGTTTGCAGCCCCGTGCCTCCCGGAGCACAGCCGCTATTCCCACCAGACCATGTTCCCCACCCCAGGCGTTGAAAATAGCAGCAGGAGCCCTGACTCACGCTTCCCACCCTCCCTTTGAGCAGAGACCGGAGCAGGCAGCGCCGTGTGCTCCTGTCTGCTCCCCCGTCACCCCTGGACGGACACCTCGGGCCGGCTTTTTTTTTACCAGCCTCAGAGCAATTTTTTCCCGCATAATGTCGGGAGGCACGTTCAGGGTTTCATCTCGCAGCGGAGCTTCCCACCCTGTCCTTGCTGTGCTGGCACGGATCTTGCCAGTGGGTCTCATCCACCAAGCGCCAGAAACAGAGGTACCAAAAGCCCCCGAGGGTCTCTCTGCCCATTGCCATCCTCCCCATGGTCTTATTCTAACCCAAACAGCTGACAGCACCTACCTCCATCGCGGGCTATTCGGGTCCCTGGGCTATTCGGCGTGGGCTGCTCGGCTGCGTCCCTGCGATGTCCCGGAGCCT